GGGCCGAACCTCACTAATCCGGCAAGCTGGGGCCGAACCTCACTAATCCGGCAAGCTGGGGCCGAACCTCACTAATCCGGCAAGCTGGGGCCGAACCTCACCAATCCGGCAAGCTGGAGCCGAACCTCACTAATCCGGCAAACTGGGGCCGAATCTCACTAATCCGGCAAACTGGGGCCGTAGTTGCCGGATTATCGAATCTCCTAAGCTTGGTGTGTGTGGGAGAAGAAATAGGGATAAAAAAAAAAAAAAAAAAATCTGTTATCCGAGTTGATTTGGCGGACAAAGCGATCGCTATTCTGTCTCAGATGTTGAACTTGACGTAGATAATAGATAACTGAATTTTCCTTAGCTTATCTCATGCAAAATGAGCCACACTTACGGATTAATCGATTCAGTTATCCGAGATGTTTCGGCGGCCTAAGCGGATAAAACTATCATTACCTCATTATTCCGGCAAGCTTGAGATCATCTAGGTGCCGGATATGTGGATTTTCCTAAGCTTAAAGAAAGGAAAATAAGAAAAGCTTATGGACAAGAAACATTAGTTATTCAAATATGAATAGGCAGACACCACAAACAAAGTTTCCCCCCCTGTCCTTCTTCTACTTCAGGTTGAAACTCATTAAACCTCATTAAATTTTTATTATTACGGTCCAGATGATAGTAATTACCAACTACAACAATCCTAGTATAATGAAAAAAAGCAAAATAGTAAAAATAATAATAATAAATGAATAATAAAAATATATATAAATAAATGAATGACAAATAAAAAAATAAAATGATAATGATAATAATCAGCAACAACAATCACAGAAATTATAAGTCAATATAATTATCAACCACAAACACTAAACTACGACATTCATCCTGAACTACAGGGAATACTAACCATATTATGCACACATTCACAGTAATTAGTACTATGAACAACCATCATTGGAAGTAAATCATCTTTCAACCACCAACCACACTAATAACTCACAATAACAACCATTATTCACACTGATAACTCACAATGGTAATTAAGAAACCACACTAATGACAATCACTTAATAACAACAACCGAATCATTCATTCATCTAGGTAATTGCGAATCCTCCCAATCGCTCAGTCTCCACCACGGCAATCACCAGTGACCCTAATCAACCAATTACCTAATCACATACCCCAGTAATTACTAATAATTGAGACCACTCACAACAGTAATTACTAATCTCACAATTTACCTTCGCAATCACCAATCAGACCAGTTATTTACTTCGTCAGTCATCAGTCACATCAGTCTCTCAAACCAGCTGTTCACCAATCACACCAATCATTCATACCAAGTCACTAATCACGCTGGCCCATCATACCAGCAGTAGGTGAATCATACCAACAAGTACTGATTACACCAGTCATTCATACCAAAAGTACCCCAACCATACCGACAAACATTGATCACACCAGTCACTCCACAAGTTCACCAATCACACCATCAATAAACCAGTTACACCAGCCCCCTCACATCTCCAGTCACACCAATCATACCAGCCCCACACATCAATCGCACCAGCCCCTTAAACCACCAATTCGCCAATCACACCAGCCTCACACCAATCCACCAGTTCCACACTAACAATTCACCAATCACACCAGCCTGTCATACCACCAATCCCTCACACCAGCTCCACTCGCTAACAATTCACCAATCCACCAATAACACCAGTCTCTCACACTACCAACCCCCCCAGTCGCACCAGCCCCTTAAACCACCAATGCCCTCACACCACCAACCCCCCAATCACACCAGCCTCTCACACCACAATCCCACCATCCCCTCACACCACCAATCCCCCAATCACACCACCAATCTCCCACTCACACCACCAGTCCCTCAATCACACCAGCCCCTCACACACCACCACCCCCCAATCAGCCCCTCAACCACCAACCCCAATCCCACCCCCTCACACCACCAACCCCCCAATCCCACCATCCCCTCACACACCAACCCCCAATCCCACCATCCCCTCACACCACCACCAACCCCCCCCCCCATCCCACCATCCCTCACACCACCAATCCCCCAATCCCACCATCCCCTCACACCACCAACCCCCCAATCCCACATCCCCTCACACCACCAACCCCCCAATCCCACCATCCCCTCACACCACCAACCCCCAATCCCACCATCCCCTCACACCACAATCCCCAATCACGCCACCAATCTCCCACTCACACCACCAGTCCCTCAATCACAAACAGCCTCTCACACCACCAACCCCCAATCCCACCATCCCCCACACCACCAACCCCCCCAATCCACCATCCCCTCACACAACCAACCCCCAATCACACCACCAATCACACCAGCCCCTCACACCACCAACCCCCCAATCACCCACCAACCCCCCCAATCCCATCATCCCCTCCACACCACAACCCCCCCCCCAATCCCACCATCCCCTCACACCACCAACCCCCTAATCACACCATCCCCTCACACCACCAACCCCCCCAATCACACCAGCCTCACACCACCAACCCCCCATTCTCACCACCCCTCACACCCCATCCCCCAATCACACCACCAGTTCCCCCAATCACACCACCAATCTCCACTCACACCAGCCTCTCACACCACAACCCCCCAATCCACACCAGCCCCTCACCACCAACCCCCCAATCCCACCAGCCCTCACACCACCAATCCCCCAATCACACCACCAATCTCCCAATCACACCAATCTCCACTCACAACAGCCTCTCATACCACCAACCCCCCAATCCCACCATCCCCTCACACCAACCCCCCAATCCCACCATCCCCTCACACCACCAATCCTCCCAATCACACCAGTCCCAGCTGCGCGCGTCACCTGCCCTATCCCCCCCCCCCCCGCGATTGGAAGCTGCGTCCGAGATGGCACATGATAAGCCGTTTCTCGTGACGTATGGTTATTGCAGTGATATTGAAAAGTGTATATCTCGTTTCTCGCCTCGACCTCTCGGACTGGTGTTATTATTGTTATTATTGCCGCGGTCACCTGACACTCGGGGCTGACCTTTGACCTCGGAGGAGGGAGGGGAAGGAGATAGGGGAGGGAGGGGGGGTTTGTTGGTTGTGTGAGAGAAAGAGGGGAGGAGAGGGGAGGAAGAGAGAAGGATGTGCGAGAGAGAGAGGAGAGAGAGAGAAGAGAGAGAGAGAGAGAGAGAGAGAGAGAGAGAGAGAGAGAGAGAGAGAGAGAGAGAGAGAGAGAGAGAGGAGAGAGAGAGAGAGAGAGAGAGAGAGAGAGAGAGAGAGAGAGAGAGAGAGAGAGAGAGAGAGAGAGAGAGAGAGAGAGAGGAGAGAGAGAGAGAGAGAGAGAGAGAGAGAGAGAGAGATTTGAACAGAGACAAAGGGAGGTTAAGAAGGAAAAGAAAGATAATGAGCAGAGATTGGAGAGGAGAAAAATAAGAAGAATAAATGAACGGAATTAGCGAAGAGGAAGAAAAGAGAAGAGAAGAGGATGGGGAGGGGTAAGAGATGAGGTAAAAGCATAAATTATCTCTCCGTTTCCTTTTCGCAATTTGCAGAAAGTTGCATACGAGCCGCAACCTTAACGCTGTATAAGGAATCTCATCACTACTCTCTCTCTCTTCTTTTCTTCTCTCTCTCTCTCTCTCTCTCTCGTCTCCTTCTCTCTCTCTCTCTCTCTCTCTCTCTCTCTCTCTCTCTTCTCTCTCTCTCTCTCTCTCTCTCTCTCTCTCTTCTCTCTCCTCTCTCTCTCTTCTCTCTCTCCTATCTCTCTCTTCTTATCTCCTCTCTTCATCTCTCTCTCTCTCTCTCTCTATCTCTCTCTCTCTCTCTCTCTCTCTCTCTCTCTCTCTCTCTCTCTCTCTCTCTCTCTTATTTCTTTCTCTCTCTCTCTCTCTCTCTTTTATTTCTTTCTCTCTCTCTCTCTCTCTCTCTTCTCTCTCTCTCTCTCTCTCTCTCTCTCTCTCTCTATATATATATATATATATATATATATATATATATATATATATATTATATATATATATCCATCTCTCTCCCTCTTCCTCTCTCCGTCTCTCCCTGAAGTAACAAATCACATTTCAACTGAAATGGGAGAATAAAGGAAAGAGTGTGAAAAGGAAGAACGAGAACGTTGTTAAGGATAAAGAGGACGAAAAGAAAGATGAGGAGGAAATATTGAAATTGACCAAGAGAATGAAATAATGAGACAAATCGTAGAAAAACAACAACAACAAACAAAAAAAAAAAACGAAATAATGAAATAAGATGAATAATCAATCAAAGAGAAAACAAAACAAAACAAAAAAAGATCCGAAACAAAAGAAATAAGAAGACAAAAAACAAAAAACAAAAACAACAACAACAACAACAAGAGACCAATAAAGAAGAGAAGGAAGAGGCCAAAAAAAAAAAAAAAAAGAGAGACCAATAAAGAGAGAAGAGAAGAGGCGGAAAGAAGGAGAGATGAGAGGGCTGGATGAGGAAAGGTCCAACCTCATTTGCATAATACGGCCCTCGGAGTCGGTGGCCACTCGCCTGTCATTATGGCCCGAAGCTGATCAATCCCCAGCGGGATAGAGATGTCGGGGAATGGGAAGGGGGGGGGAGGGGGTTGCCAGGTAGGGTTTTAATCGCTCCGTTGTGGTAGAGGGGAGGGAAGGGTTGGGGGGAGGTAGGAGAGGGAAGGGGGAGGAGGGAAGGGGGAGGGTGTGGTAAATGTGGTGGTGAGTGAGTGTTGTAGATTGTGGAAGAGGCGGTGGTGGTTGTGGTAAATTGGGGTAGATGAGGCGTGGGTATTGGGGGAGATTGTTGTGGTAGATAGTGATGGTGGTTGTAGTAGATGAGACGTGGATATGGGGTAGATTGTGGTGGATAGAGGTAGATAATTGTGGTAGATGAGACATGAATGTAGGGGAAAATTATGGTAAATGCGGTGATGGTTGTGGTAGACTGAGGTAGATGGGGCGTGGAAACGGGATTGGGGGTTATAGTAGATACGTTATGTATATAGGTATCCTGTGGTAGGTGAAGTGTGGATAGGCTTGGATGTAATGTGGATGAGGGTAAACTGTGGTACATGAGGGGAGGAGGATAGCCTGGTAGATGCATTGTTGTAGATTTGGTGTGGACTGTTATGGACACGGTGTAGATTGGGGTAGATCCGGTTGTTTGAATTTAATAATGCAGCTTTTCCTCTGTGCAGCTCATCGATTGCATAGAGGAAAGCACAAACACTTATCTCTCTCTCTCTCTCTTCTTCCCCACCCCACCTTTCTCTCTCTCTCACTCTCACTCTTTCTCTCTTTCTTTCCCTCTCTCTTCCTTTCCCTCCACTACTTGCTCTTCCACCTATGCTCGCTCTAGCTCTCTCTCTCGCTCTCTCTCTCTCTCTCTCTCTCTCTCTCTCTCTCTCTCTCTCTCTCTCTCTCTCTCTCTCTCTCTCTCTCTCTCTCTCTCTCTCTCTCTCTCTCTCTCTATACAACCAACCCGATGTCCCGAATGGCCGACCCAGAAGCGCCAACGACCATTCAGTAACTGAAGCCTCGTGTATTTACTCTCCGATACGTGTTTTTCAATCAGCACTTTGGGTAGTACATCTTTTACGAAATTTGTAGGTATTGCATCTTTCATACCATAAAAGCACCGAAGAGAGAGGCGTTATTTTTTCAGTTAACGGTCTGGGTACTACATCTTTTACGCAAATTTTAGGTGTTGCATCTTTCATAAAAATACAAGCAACGGAAAGAGTTGCGTTTTTTTTTTATTATTCGTCAAGTTGAGTGCAAATATGGGCTTTGGGGATTTTTTTTGCTGATGTAATATGAAACGATACAAAATGTTTGTTATGTAATGATGTATATTACCTTGGATTGAGTTGTCCAGGGGGTGTAATAGAGGGTTCTAAAGTGTAGTTACTATTTGCATGTAGGTTTCGTATATGAAGACCAAATATGGACTGCAAGATCGCAAATTGAAATGTCTTGTTATGTTTGGTATGCTTTTTGGGATGTTGACGCCCTCCGAGATATGACCACACGAAAATAGGAAAGATATATATGCTCTGCTCATTTCTTTCCTTCAATTTCCGCGTGAGAATGAACGTCAGTTTAAAATTCGTCGTGAGAAATGCATTTACTAGTCAGCACATGTGGAACGCCCGTGTAAATAGTAAGGAGAGAAATATATACGATACCTATAAATTCCCTTCACAGAATATACATACAAATTTCGCATTCTATTAAGCAATAATATGATTTCGTATTCTGGTTAGATGACAGTTTGATGAAGCAGATTGGAGCTCCAGCAGAAATTTTAAGTGTTGATACTGGCAACAGTGGATGGATGTGCGACATATACATTGATAGACATGGTAACCCTGTCCATTGGCTACGCATTTCAACCCCCACGCAAAAAAAAAAAAAAAAAAAAAAAAAAAAAAAAAAAAAAAAGAGAGAGAGAAAAAAAAGGGGGAAAGAAAATAAGAAAACGGATTTTTCTGTTCCGTTTATGTGTGTAATTTTCTCCTTCATATGCGCACGAATCGTGGCCAGAGTTGTGGCCCACGTGTTGCGGGCCACAGGACGCCGCCTGGCTCTTTGGACACGCACGCAAAGACCCCTGTCATCAGTGATTTCTTGACACTATATAACCCTATCTTTGGCCGTCCTATCTCCGCTTCTCATCATGATTTTTCCTCTCTCGCTGTCTCTTGTCTCTCTGATTCTGTGTGTCTCTGCCTTTGTCTGTCTGTGTCTCTGTCTCTGTCTGTCTGTATGTCTCTCTCTCTCTCTCTCTCTCTCTCTCTCTCTCTCTCTCTCTCTCTCTCTCTCTCTCCATCATACACATCACTTTCTTTGCTTCTCCGTTTTCACGCCTCGGCTTATTACAGACGGGGCCTACCTCTTCCGCCAGGACCTTGGCCATTTCACGAGGCCCTACTCTGCTTATGTCCCTCCTCGTGCCCCTTCCACTCAGCCACTTACTCTCGCCCTCCCATACAGTCTACAAATAGTCTGCACTTACCTCCAACCTATCTGCACCTCTCACCCACACCCTCCACTTACTCCCTCTCGCCCTCTACACCCACCTTCGCCAACCCGCCTCCACAACCACCCACCTTCAATCGCTGCCGCCACTCACATCCTACACTTACCTCATCGTTGCAAACCTCCACTCATCTTGTACCCCTCCCCTCACCATCTTGCTCCCCTACCACTCCACTCAGCCTTACCTCTCGCCCACATCGAACCCACCCTCAAAATCACCAATATACCTCCTCGCCCACACCCCACCTCCACTCATCGATCCTCGTCTTGCCCATCCAACCTACAACCCCCTGCAACCACATACACTCCAACCATAACTCAACACCCTCTTGCCACCTCCCACCCACACTACCCACATTACCTCTCGCCTCCTCACACTCGCTCAACCCATACCTCCACCCACCCAACGTGAGCCCCCCCATCATCTATACCCCAAAATCATAA